GCTGGGGTGGGGGTCAGAGCTGAGGTAGGGGTCAGACCTGAGGTGGGGGGTCACTGCTGGGGTGGGGGTCAGACCTGGGGTGGGGGTCAGTGCTGGGGTGGGGGTCAGACCTGGGGGGGGGATCACTGCTGGGGTCGGGGTCAGAGCTGGGGTGAAGGTCACTGCTGGGGTGGGGGGTCACTGCTGGGGTGGGGGGTCACTGCTGGGATGGGGGTCACTGCTGCGGTGGGGGTCAGAGCTGGGAGCCTCCTCACCAATTGTATGTGAGTGGATGGAGGAGTCCGGGAGAGCAGGAGGGCAGCCTTGGTGGTGAGCCCCGCTCCGGGTCCCTTGGGTGCTTGCTGAGCCCTCTCTGGGCAGGAGTGGGGGACCCTGCTCTCCCCCAGTGTCCACACCCTCCCATGCCCCGGGCACCTAGGAACTCGGGACGGCCTCTGCTGCCCAGCTGGTCCCTGGTGGCCAGGAGCAGCCCTGGCCTGGACCCTGCAGCCTACCCTCGCATGAGGTTCTAAGGAAAGGTTTGCAAAGGCCTGTAGGGGGAACAAGCCCTGGAACTTCCTCTCCCTGGAAACGGGCGGGAGGAGGGAAGAGAGCGGCTCTTTCTGCCACTACCAGGCCCCAGGCAGGGGTCCCACCAAGTCGGCACAGACACGCACCTAGGCCCTTCAGGGCCGGGTGGATAGCGCTCCAGACGCCCACGCTCCCCTTCCGCAGCCTCTGCCCAACGGCGAACTCCAGGTACAGCAGGGGGACTCCCTCCACCACCAGCAGAATGAGGAAGGGGATCATAAACGCCCCTGGATGGGGAGAAGGAAGCGATGCAGTCAGCTGACAGTGCCCAGGAGGGCAGAAGGCCACCTCTGGGGACACAGGCATTTGCAGAAATTATCTGCAGAACTTTGCCACAAATACAAACTAGGGCCATCAACAACACCACTGCCCGTGATGGCCACTGGCGTTGCAGAAAACGGTGTTGCCTGCCACAGAAAATTCTAGAGATGAGCAATCAAGGACCAGAGCTTCAAAGTAACAGCAAGACCCCTGGATTGGGGTCAGAGCTAACTCCACGTTCTAGAAGGCCCACTCAGCAGCGGGACACAGGAGAGTCCGTGCTCTCATCTGTGCAAAGTCCATTGTCCTTCAGATGGGTAAGAAATGACTGAAATGGGAGGGCATTTGGAAGTGTTTAGAAAGTGTAGCAATTCCGTGCTGGGGCGGAGCTGGAGCAGGAAGAAGTTGCGCAGGTGGTGAGGGAACCAGGAAGGGGACGATTCCCTGTTGAAACCAAGGTTCATTTTTATGGTTTAAATTGACTAGAATGTTAAGTTCATTCAGGATGCCTTTTAAGTAAACAGAAGATAGAGATGTGCTTACCCTAAAAAGAAAAAGCAACCCACCGTTCCTGTGAGAGTTAGGTTTAATGCTTGGGACCATCCTAAAAGCAAAGGCAGCACCCAGAACGCTGCCGCATGTGGGTCAGTAAACACAACTGCGTTTCCTCACGACGTCTTTAGATTCTGTCTCTTTAGAGAAACTCAAGCTGGAGGGTGTGGGCTGGCCTCCTCTCCGAGCTCCAGACAGTGGGCACCCGCCCAAAGGGCAGCACTGAGACGTTCGTGCGTTTAAACGTATAGAGACACGCTTGTCATTCTGACAGCTCCCTCTTCTCGCAGGGACCCATGGACTCCCCGCCTCAGTCCTGCGTGGTAAGAGGGGCCACCTGGGCAGACCGCCGCTTGTTGTATGGGGAGACGCTTTGTGCCGCCTCATCAAAGTGGCCAACCCCACAAGCCCATGCCCTTCCTACGGGGTGGTGCACAGCAGCGCTGGGAGGTTAGGAAGGTGTCCGCGGGCTGGGCGGAGCGCGGGGAGGGGCACAGACCAGGGTGAGCCAGCCAGGGGAGGCGTGGAGAGCGCGTGCAACCTGCACTCAAAGGCACGGAAAAGTCAGAGGGGAGAGGCCACGGGAGCCCAGAGTTCAGAGGGCACGTGGGATGTCTGCATCAGGGGTCTTCAGTCTGAGCCTTAGGGACCCTGCTTAGGGACGTGGAGGAGTGTCCTCCAGAATGTTCTGCTGGACGCAGGCACAGTGCAGGGTCTGTCGGCTCTGCTCTCTGATGGACACCAGGGCCCAGCCTGGCACTGAACGGGAGCTCCGTGACCATCTGCTGAGTGGAAATGGCAGGACAGGGTCACGATGCCCGCTGGGGTGGGGGAGCCAGCCTCTGTGGTGAACGTGGTCCCATGTGTGGTGACCCAGGCTCGGCAGTGGAATCCCTTCCCTTCTGTCACAATTCCCCCCGCCGTGTTGTCAGGAGCACGCTGGCGGTTCTACAACGCCCCCCCCCCCGCCCCCCGCCTGGCTTTACTGTAGGAAGGAGGTGAAGGTTAGTGACGGTGAACCAGGTCAGGGGGCCCAGCTGCACCCTTCCGCCCGCCCGCCGCGGGGCCAGCGGGAGATCCGAGGAGGTTCTCCGGTGCACTTAGCGTGGGAGGGTCCTGAGCACAATCTACAGAGATTAGCACAACTGTGGTTACAAAGGTCGTGAACACTCACTCAGGACGATGTTCAACACAGCTGAAACCGGGAGATAAGAATTCAAAACACACTCATGGCTCCAGGACTGCAGCGCAGACTCGGTTCCCAGCCTGACAGGCCCGTGGGCTGGGTTCCCCGGACCCCCGTGAGCCATAATCCCTGACTGGGAGGCCTGGGGGATCCAGCCTTGCACCTGCTGAGTGATGGGGGCCGCCCACGCCTGCCTGCTCCCCCTCACCCTGACGTCCCTGGGTCTCCCGGGGAGGGGCGCCCACGACACTGCACGTCTGGAGCGGTTGCGCAGCCCCAGCCCCTCAGCACGCAGCACCCCCGGCTGCTTGCTCGGGCTCCCATCCCTCTTGCTTCTCCCCGCCCCATCATGTCCCAGGAGCCCAGGAGGAGGCCATCTCCACCTCCATCCCCTCCCTTCCCGGCACACTCCTGCTGTTTGTCCTCCCCTGAATAGCTTACATGCTTCGCTTCCTTCCCCTTCCCTGCCCCGCGCCTCCCCAGCCCGACCACCGACTCCCGCATGGGTCCCTGGTCAAGGCAAGTGTCGGACGCTGAGCCAGAGGTCCTCAGTGGGGTGGCAGTGTGTGTGCATGAGTGTGCGTGTGTGTGCGAGTATGTGTATGCATGGGTGTATGTGAATGCGTGCGTGTCCGCATGTGTGTGAGTGTGTAAATGTATGCACATGTGGGTGCGAGTATGTGGTGGGTGGGCGTCCACATGTATGTGCATGCCTGCGTGTAAGTGCATGCATGTATGTGTGTCCTTGTGCGTGTGCATGCGTGGGTGTATGTGAACGTGGCTGCATTGTGAGTGCATGTCCATGTGTATGTGCATGCCCGAGCCTGTGTGTGAGAGAGAGAGAGAGAGAGAGAGACTCTGAGGGGCATGGGAAGGCAGGGGCAATCTCGCCAGCGGGCTCCACGTGTGCTGCTGGGTTGACTCCCTCGGCTTCCCTCTTTCTTTCTCCTCCCTCAGTCCATCCCTCTGTCTGTCTATCCACGGTGCCCTCACCGGCTGGGACTAACAGGCCCCCTGGAGCCCAGGGGCACCTCCTCTGCCCCGTGGGCTGTCCTCTGTCCTGGGTCTCCACCCCAGGACAGAGATAGGTCTCCCTGGTGCTGCGGCTGCGGCTGCGATGGGGCTGAGGGTCTGGCACCCCAGGAAAGCCGGGCCTGTGGGCCACAGGGAATGGGGAACTTAACGTGACAAGGAGGTAACAGCACAGAGCAGTTGTGACCCACCAGCCGCCTCACGGGAGGGCAGCCCCGGATCCTTGCTCTCCCAGATCAGCGGGTGCTGAGCTCCCGGAGTCCCCTCTCAAGAAACTCCAGCAATGCCAAGGGGTCTTTACAAATCAAGCCTGGGAACATGAACCTTTCCCTTTTACACCCGCTGCTTCTCACTGTGGGTGGAGGTGTAGGAAGGAGGGAAGGACAGACAGGGAGGGCTGCAAGTCTCAGGGAGGGAGGAAAGCATGGAGGGCGCCCAGGCGGGTTCCAAAGGTCCCCGGAGCCGAGCCTCCCAGCGCTGCCCCGGGAGCTGGGGATGTGTGCTCTTGCACACCGATGCACACTCATGGCGGGACGAGGTGGAAATACCCCACAGGAGAAAGACAGCTGGCACAGAAGTGCAGATCTTTCTCTCTTTGAGAAATTAGGAAACAAGGGGGAGGGAGGAGGAAGAGGACGTGGGGGTAGAGATGCGTGCTTCTGAGGCCGGTCTGAGCCTCCGCGTGTCTCTCGCCCGCACGTGGCTGTTTGGCACAGAGTAAAAGCCGGAGGAAAATGTGCTGAATCGGTAGGCACAGGGCTAGGACCAAGAGAGAAATGCAGCCCCTGGAACCAGCCTGGAGAGAAGCCTGGAGACAGCAGTGGGGGGATGGGGGACACTGCCTCCTCTGGGCTCCCCCAACCCCGCACACCAGCTCTCCCAGCTGCGCAGTCACTGCGAGGATGAGATGGGGTAACGTGGGCACCAAGTATTGGGAGTGGTGCCTGTGGGACAGACTGGGGTGGGGGCGACATGCGTGGAGAGAGAACGCACTTTCACCGACGTGCAGGCTCTCCGGCATGGTGCACATGCAGAACTCTCGGCGAGGACCGTCTAGTCCCCAGGACGTGGGGGTATGGCCGGGGGTGCCCCCCCAGTCCTCCTGCTGTTTCCTGAAGGCCGACTGAGGTGGCTGCTGTCCCCTCACCTGCAGCCTTCCCTGCTGCCCACGTCCAGACTCACAGCCCACGCTGAGCCACCACGAGACATGTGCCCACGCGACAGCCCTGAGCGCCACAGAGCCAGTGCTCGGGAGGGAGAGGGTGGTGCTGGCAGGTCCTGCCCTCCCACATCTGGCACACCCTGCTGGCCCCCGGGCTCAGTCCTTTCAGACTGGCTGTCTCTGACCCAGTCGGCACCCGGCAGACTGACCAGAAATGCATGTGGTTCTCCCACGCCAAGGAACACAAGAGCCCCAAGCCTGTGGTGTCGCCTGTGATCACAGCAGCTAGTGGGGGAGGAACAGAGAGGGGGCCCAGGGCCGGGGCAGCTTGTCCAGGGTCTGGAGGTGGGACCTATAGTGGGACCACCCTCAGACCCGGGCACAAGGGTCCCTTCCTGCACTTCTGAGGGCCCTGTGCTGCCTTCCCCACCTGAAGCCTGCCCCCTGGAGCCCATGCCCAGGCGCCTTCCAGGTCACACTCAGGGAATCAGGGTCCAGAACGCTCCAGCCAAATGGGCCAAGTCATCGATTCATCGGGCCTGTGCAGCCCCTTCCCCAGTCTCCCAAGGGAGCAACCAGCTGGTGTGCCCCCTGGGTTGTGAGTCGGTGGGACCCGCCACGATGGCTGTGGAGGCGGATGTGGACAAGGTTTGGGTGTGGGGGCTGGGGAGCCACACATGCACTGTGAGCACATCTCCTGGAAATGCAGAGGCAGCTGGGGAGGGCGGCAGCGGGGCAGGTGGAAATCTAAACTGAAGCGTGGCCTTCCAGACTGCGGACTCTCGGTGTGGGGACACTCCTTGCTCGTTTGTTGACCTGATTTAGAACTGCGAACATGCAGACCTGCAGCAGGTGGGCCAGGAACGCTTCCCCGGGAACGGCGGGAACAGGGGGAGTTCACTGGCCGCGTGGCGGGGGCACAGAAATAACCGAGGAGCCGAGTCTCCCTGGCCAAGGAGAGAGCCTTGTGTTTGTGCTCTCAAACTCAGCCTGGTGTTTGAGCTCTCAAAGGAGGAAACCCTGACCCGTGGCTGTGAGGAGGGGGTGGCGTGGGCATCCCACTGCCCGGAGGACGGGTCGGGGGGCGTTTGGGAGAACTGATGGAGAGGGAAGACAGAAGTTCCTAACCCGGGCGGCCCTGCCCAGGCCAGGGCTGCGCCCTCTCTCGCACAGTCCCCTCTCACACCTCTCCTGGCCCCTAGAAAAGCCAGATTTCTCCTTAAACCAGAGTGACGATGGCACTTTCCCATTCCCAGACCCGTGCCCATTCCTGCCGCAGCCCCTTCCCAGCTTCGGCTGTGCGAGCCTCTGCCTGGTGCCCACAAGGCCGGCTCTGGGTCAGGGCGCTGGTGACTGTGCCAGTTTCCCTTTTGTGGTGAGGCTGTGACAGTGGATACGCCTGAGGGTGCACTGTCCCTCACTGGGTCACAGATGTTTGCTGTTTGTCGGTAAACACACAAAACCTCAGAAAGAAGCAAAAGCAGGCGGGCCCAGGCTGGGCAGGCCCACTGTCCACCTGCCCCGCTCATCACAGAGATGCCGGGCCCAGGGAGAGCTCCAGGTCTCCAGCCTCCTACGTGGCCACACATCATGCAGAAGAAGGGGCTTTTCGTGTGTGTGCGTGCACATGGCCACATGCCCAAAATAAACATGCAACATGTTGCTGACGGCTGAATCTAAGTCATGGGAATAGGGTCTGTACTGGAGTTTCCTCCACTTTTCTGAATTTTATTTTTTTCATAATACAAAGTTAAAAATAAAGTAAATGATCACTTGTTTTTACTTTTTGAATTACCCCAAACTCCTGGAAATAATTGGAGACAAATTAAGTTTCCACCAAACCAAGACTCGTCATTGGGGTCCTCAAATGTGTCACTTTCTTTTCAAGTGACACAACCGCTCCCCTCCCCCATAGCTGGGGCTCGGGGTGGGGAACGTCCGCATGAGGGGTCACCAGCCACCGGCCACCTTGTCACCATTCTCAGTGACTGTCTCCTGGGCTTGGAAGTCAAGACGCTCAGCTCCTGACCTGAGAGCAGACCCGGGGGACGGAGGACAGTGGGGAGGCCCCCAGGAGGGCACAGATGGACAGGGAGAGGAATGGGCGGCCTGGACTGGACAGACGGTGAGCCACCAGGGCGGTCCTGCCGAGCTGGGAGGTGGCAGCCTCGCCCAGGATGTCAGGGGCTGCACCGCCCCCCCGCCTCCCCACCTCGCCTGCTAGAGCCCATGGATTGAGGACCCCCACACTTTGTTGTCTGTCCCGGGGACCCAGGGTCGGCCCCCCTTCCCTGGGGTGATGCAGATGCTCCTGTCCTCAGTGTCTGGAGGCAACGTTCCCGTGCTGCCCCCTTGGGCTCATGGTGAGTGTGTGGCTGCACCCCGAGAACCCCCATTTCCCGTGGGTGAATTCTTCTCAGTAAAGGGGCCCCGCGGCTCTCTGGGAATTTTCGGTCTCCGTCATTGTCCTGGTCGGTTGCACTGAGGACTTTGAAGTCCCTTCAGCATGTTCCTGGACATCCTCCCCAGCTCTGGTACTCCCAGTCCCTCTCTTCTCAGGGGGCCCCAAAAAGTGGGTCCATCATGTGTGGCCGGGGGCCCCAGCACAGGGGGCGTGCCCGGCCCCTCCTCCCTCTCCAGCGGGCTCCTTCCACGCCCTGGGGGAGGAAATCCCTGCTGTGCTGGGCTTCCCCTTAGAACTAGCCGGTGCACTGGGCACTGCCGCTGGAGTTGCAGAGGACGCTGGGCCCCTCCCCCAGGACGGCCCCCGCAGTGGGGGGCCTGACCAGGAGGTTCCAGAGGGAAGGGGCAGCCGGGCTCCCTGGGGCAGCTGGGAGACGGAACTCAGTGGCCCTACCGCTGGGCATCCCAACCTCGCAGGCCCCAGGGTCCCCAGCCCCACCCTCTCCCCCCAGCGCAGAGACAGCGGCAACCAGCCGGGAGGTGCAGGCTGGACCAGAGGCGGGTAATACACAGCCTCCCAGACATTCTCGAGCCCGGGGTGGTGCAGAGTCACAGGTTCCCCGGGGGGCGACCGCGTCTGCTGTTCTCAGGGACACTTTAGGTCACAAAGCCCGGATGAGAGTCAGCAGGTGTTCAGAGTTAGAAAGAAAACGATGCCTCCTAACTCGCATCACTAGAGAGCGAACATCCTTTAAAAGCCCGAAACCTGTCTACCAGGAGAGTCCCCAGAGTGTCCAGCCAGCTCTGCGGGCTGGGGGCCCAGGGGAGACAGAAGCCCTGGACGCGTGGGGGCCAAGGGGACCACGGGTATGACCTCCATCCCTGCAGTCGTGGACATGGGAGGATGGGAGGAGGGACAAGGCTGTGGGGGCTCTGTAGCTGGGGTGAGGGGGCGACCTCTGCCATGCAAGGAGACCCTGGGCTCCAGGCAAGACCCTCAGTGGCCTCTGGAGGTGGCTGGTCATGGGGGAGCAGCTCCCCCGCCTCTGGCCTGTGTGCCGTGGGTCAGGAACCGGCCACGTGTCCCACTGTGGGCCACCTGCTCCTGGCCCGGCTCCCTCCTCTGTCCATCAGGGAGTGTGCTGCCTGCCTGTGCGGTTAGGACGTGACATGATGCACAGGGAGGACTCGGCCCGGTGCCCGTGGTGGATGTGCAGAGGGCTGGCCCTACTGCCCCTCGTGCCAGTACCTTTCATGCTCCACCCGGAGGAGTGGCTGGTTCCTCTCCCCCCAACACCCAGGTCCCTCTGTCCTCTGGGAACAGGGCAGGGATCCCGGGTCCTGGAGCGCGGGTGGCACACGGCCTCCCGGAGCCTGACACGCCAGCATTGGACATGCGGGCCCGGGCAGTGGGCCTCTGTTGCCAACCCCTGTGGCCAGGGACGGGGTGCAGATATCAGCGCCCAGGCCACCCGGCCCAGGCCCGCCTCTGCCCAGCCCTGCCCTCGGTGCGAACTCGGGGGCTCAAGTCTGCAGTGAAGACGACCCCCGGGTGGAAGGCGCAGGTGTGCGCCTGCCCTGCCTGCAGCCCCCGGCCCCCCAGACTCCTCCCCTCTGTGGAGGGGATGCTGGGGTCCAGGGGGGCGTCAGTGTGGCTCAGCCCCATCCCCCGCCCTTGCCCTCTGCCCGGGCCTACCTCCGCCGTGGCTCTGGCACAGGTAGGGGAAGCGCCACACATTGCCCAGGCCCACGCAGAAGCCCACGCAGGTGAGCATGTACTGGGCCTTGTTGTCCCATTTGGGCCGCGAGCTGGCCTCCTGCTCCTCGATGCGCTCCAGCTCCGCCAGGGACGGGATCCGGTCCTCCAGGCCTGGGTTGGGCAGCACGAGCCTCATCATGGGGGTCGCTGGGCGGGTCCCTCGTCGCCACAGCAGGCCAGGAGCTGGAGCGCAAGTGGCCACGGCCCAGAGCCCCAGCACTTTATAGGGAACCTTTGGTACCTCACCCCAAGCACCTGGGCCTACAGTCAGCGTCAGCAGATCTGGAGGGCGAGTCCGCGGACTGTTAATGCCTTATCTGCAGAGGCGCCGCCGCCCGACCCTCGGAGCCTGCTCAGCCTGCGCTGCTGCCGGCCCCTCCCCCTGTGCAAACACAGACCGGATGTCTCACAGGTGAGCCGCCCCCCAGCTCCAAGCCCTGCATGTGGGCCGAGGGCCAGACTCTGGGGAGGAGGGACCCGGGGCAGAAGGACCGTATCCGACAGCCCCCAATGGCCCTGCCTGGCTCTGCAGGATGCTAGCTCTCCCCCAGACACGCAGCCTCCAGACCCTCCGAGGCTCCGTCCACTGGCCACACCCCACCCCATCTGCAGGAGGAGGCCGAGGAGGGGCCCCCTTTCCCAAACTCTCTCTGCCAACAGGCTGAGAGCTGGGACGTCCCTGACCTCTCCCAGTCCAGGGACACTAGTGGAGCCCTGGGTCCTGGGAGCAGCCCACTGCCCTGTTCACTCTGAGCTTTCTGCTGTCTGGATCCCTCCTGGCCTGAGCTCTGGACTCTAAACAGCTCCTCAGAGACCCTCGAGGTCCCACTAGCATGGGGGTAACCAGAGGTGCTTCAGACTTGGGGGCCTCCAGGCTGGGCCCTTTGGACCCAGAACGGCCTCCAGGGTGCTTGTCCCCGTGGGCTCTCCAGGGTTCCGGGAGTGGACTGTCCCCAGAGCCATCGCCCTGCTGCCTCCCAGGCTCTCCCCACAGCTCCAGGAGTGGACTGTCCCCAGAGCCTGTCCTGGAGGCTGGGGGACAAGGAGAGACCCCACGTGGGGGTTATGTCTGAATGGAGACCCAGAGCAAAAGGGGTTTTCCAGCGTGGTTTCTGGTCCTGATCCTGAGCTCAGCGACCCCACCCGCCCGCCACCTTCCCATGGGCTAGTGACCATGCACCCCCAACCAACTGAGGGGCCTTTTCCCAGCCTCCATCCAGTCTTCGGGGTCAACCTTTGGGACTGCCTGGGCTCCACAGCCCTCCCCATCCTCCCCACCCCGTGGCCTTCCCAGAAGGACAGACTCTGTCATCCTGTCTCTTGGCTTATCCATCTCATCAGCAGCTGTGCTGCTGGGGGGTGACGTCCCCGAGGCTGGGCTCTGTCTGCCCCCAGGACCCCCACCCCACACAACTGGTTCACACCCATGTCCACTGAATAATCCAGGGAAGGAGGGTGGCGGTCACTTGGGGTGAGTGAGTTCAGGAGCCCAACATTTGTCCCCGAACAAGAGGGAAACTGGGGAGCCTGGGGCCCAAAAGGAAGCGATTGGGTGTGCATTTAGGGACGTCTGTCCTGAGACAGACAGACTGGAGGGCAGGACGGGCCTGGGGGAGGCCACCGCAGAGAGAGAAAGACAGAGAGAGAGAGATAGAGACAGAGAGATAGAAAGATAGACAGAGGGAGATAGAGAGATACAGAGCGATAGAAAGACAGAGAGATAGAGAGAGACAGAGAGATAGAAAGAGAGAGAGACAGAGACAGAGAGAGACAGGCAGCAGAGAGAAAGAGAGAGAGACAGAGAGGAGGGAGGGAGGAGGGAGCCACAGGCTGGCCCAGGCCTGGTGGTGGGGACAGGAGAGGCAGACGGTCTGGAGACAGGAAGGAGGGGTTGCCAGGACCCCAAGGCCCAGCAAGGGAGGAGTCTGGAGTGGGGTTCCGTGCTGGATGTGTGCAGTGTGAGGCCCCCACCCCCCAGGAGTCAGAGGCACGGAATCCAGGTGTGTGTGGGGGGGGGGTCCCCGCCCCACCGCAGGCCACGCCTGGGCTCCACAGTGGACTGTGCCAGGGGCTTCCTCCTGGCCGCTCCCTCTGGAAGTTTCCCCAGAGGAAGCCGGGAGTGGCAGGAAGCCGGACTTGGACCCACGTTCTGTGGACTTGGACCCACGTTCTGTGGACTTGGACCCACATTCCCTGGAGCAGCTGAGCCTCCCGAAGCCCTAGCTCCACCGCTCCTCAGTGCCCTGAGACCCAGTGTCCTCATTTGTAAAACACAGTGGTAATGTGGAGCTCCGCGGCTGTGTTCTGAGAAAATACCAGAGACGGCACCTGGCAGACAGAAGGCCTAGTGCCCAAGGGTGGAGCCCAGGTGGGGCAGGGTCCCGGCCACAAGGACCACGGGGGCTGCTGCCCACTCAGTCAAGGTCTCAGAGTTAGCTCTGGCCTGACACCAGGCCCGAGGCCCCCTCCTCACGCGTCTCTTCCTTCGCGCTCCCCGTGACAACTTTTATCACGAAAGAAACACACGCTCGACAAAGAGAAGGGAGAGTGTTCAACCCGCAGCTGGAGACGAGCACTGACGGTTGTCTCCTGGATCTGTGGTCGCACAAACATGCTTGTACGTGAGACACACACTCACTGCACGAAATTACCGTCCGCGACATTGGTACTTAACGTTATGATCGAGAATTCTCCTTTCCTTAAATTTTAATATTTTTAACTAAATTTAAATTTTTACTTACTATATTTGTTAATTTTTTATTAAATTTTCTTTCAAGGATCTTTTTTGATGTGGGACATTACGAGTACTCAGTGTGTTGGGTACACTATAATTTATACAGAAAACTTCCCTAACATGAGGTTTCATTTTTCCCCATTGTAAATGTTGCTGTGGTAAATGTATTTGAACACATGTCTTTCTGTGACTGTCTTACAGGTGGATGAATTTTCATAAAGCAGGCATATCCACGTAACAATCGCCCAGATCAAGAGAGAGAACATTCCAGAACCCAGAGGCCACTGATCCCTCCCAGGCAACACCCATCCTCCCAAGGTGCTCACGCGGCTGGCTCCCTCCCCCTCAGGTCCAGGTCTGGTTACCCCACCGCCAACTGTACCCGTCTGTGCTTCTCCTTCCTCACAGCATCGTTCCTTCTCCTTCCCCACGCCATCCTTCCTTCTCCTTCCTCACACCATCCTTCCTTCTCCTTCCTCACA